GAGAGGAGGCAGGACGGAGAGGATCGGCTCGCTCGTGGGCGGATTCCCATTCCTCGTATTCCCAAATATGTACGCTCCTCGTCCCCCTTCTCCTCCTCAGTCCTTCTTCATTATTCCTTCTTTCTATTCTCTCCGCCTTTCTCCTCCTCCTTCCCCTACTCCTCCGTCTCCTTCTCCTACAGTCTCCAATGACCCTTCAGCGCCCCCGAAAACTCCATGGAGCTGCCGAGACCCTCTGCACCCCTCCCTCCTCCTCCCCCTCTTTCTCTTCCTTCTCTTTCCCCTCCTTACTCTCTCCCCCTCCTGCTCCTTCCTCCCCTCTCTCTCCCTCCTGCTTTTCCCTTCCTCCTCTTCCCTCCTCTTCCCGCCGCCTTCCGCCACTTATCTCCCCTGCTCCTCCCCCCTTCCTCTCAATTCCCCCCTCTCCAGTCATGTCTCGGGAGCACTGTGTTCAGGGCGAGCCGTGACACGTGCCCCACTGCATCCGCTTATGCATAGAGACCAGACCCGCGCCACACAGCGCGGTATTGATATGTGTCACATTCCACCCCCCCTCAGTCTCCGTGCGCGTGCCATGGCTCCGAAAGGCCATCGCCGCGCGCCTCCTGCACCAAGGCAGCCCAAGCGACCAGGCAAGGACCGCTCCCTTACCCGAGAGCAGCTTGGCTCGACAGGGCGTGTGCGCCGCTGCACTCCGGAGCGGGGGGGGGCGCCGACCGAGCAGCCCAGGTCGACCTGCTGGCCATCCTGGCGGAGGACGAACTCCCGCAGCCCGTCCCCAGACAGCTCCGGGGGAACGCCGATGGCGACGACTACGAAGGATACGCAGTCGAATTCGGCGCTGGATGGGTTTACGCCGCCGCCGACGGGGCACGTTCTATCCAAGCCCACGCCCTCCTGGCCAGGGGTTGGCTTCGGGGCGTGCTGCGGGCCGGGCCGCCGACCCAACCGCTCCGCGCGAGTGCTCGGCCTCGCTCGGTCCGCGCAGCCTGCCGAAACTCTCTCGCCGTGCTTCGCCTCGTGGCCACTGCCGAACGGCCCGTGCGCGTCTTCGTGGACAACGAAGCTGCGGTGGAAGGGTTTGAAAATCTCCTCCGGGGTAACCCGCCCCAGCGCGTCGGGCCGCAATCGGACCACTGGCGTAGAACCCTTTGGGTGCTTCAAGCCGAACCCGATGTCCTCAGCATCCAGAAACTCGGACCCGACCTCGGCGAGCAAGGTATGAGCGAGTGCCGCATCGCGCCGCTTGCGGAAGCCCCCAACCGATGTGTCGACGACGAGCTCGCCACTGTGGGGGCTATGCTACACATGATCCCGCAGGATGTTGCCGACGCTGCGAGATGGCGCCGCAATTTCGCCGCGGTCTTGCATGCAACGGCTGTCGGCATCTGCGATCACCAGCACAGCGAATTACCCTAGCCCCACAGACGTGCAGGGTATGTCAGGACGGAGCATTCCATCATGTGAATGAATCCGCTCACCGCCCGCCTGGGGGGACAAGGTGCAGATGCACCATGAGGGCAACCTGCCGCGGCGGAGCCGCTGGGTCCCGATTGCTACGATGACCTCGACGACCCCGGGCTCCACGCGGACGATTCTGCCGCTGGCGACCTTGACCCTACGTCTTGGGACCCCCCTTCAATGGCGAGGACGACTGCATCCCCCCGCGCGGAGACGTCACTCTGAAAACGTCCACGCTGCCGAAGGACGCGCCGAATGAGGTCTTACCGCCCCGTCCCCGGGGCACGGACCTGCGCAGCCTGCGCCCCGTGGGCCAGCGCCGCCGCCCCGACCCGCTGGGCTGGCCAGTGCTCCTGCGCCCTTTCCTCCCCCCAAAGCGCAGCGCTGCTGCCGCTGGTCGCCCGCCACGACAACATGGGGCCAAGGGCCAGCGCCGCCGCTCCCCGGCCCGCTGGGCTGGCCAGTGCTCCTGCGCCCTTTCCTCCCCCCAAAGCGCAGCGCTGCTGCCGCTGGTCGCCTCCCCCCCCCGCCCCGCCACGACAACAGGGGCCACAGGCCCTGATGGTAAGTCGGGCCTGTCCCTCTACAGGAAGAACGTTCCAAAACAGTCAAACATAGTCTGGGGACGATTTTTCGTTCACTTGACTGTTTGAGTTTTTTGTTTGTTTCAGTCTTTACTTTTTCGCCCAAAATCCGCCTGTAGGGGAACATGCCCGACCTAACCCTAGTGCCACCTGCCAGGGTGCTGGCAATCGTGCTGATCGGAGGAACGCCGTCACCCAGCGCCTCACTGCAAGTAGTCACCAGCGACGAGGGGACCGCGAGACAGGTGTCACCACCAGCAGTCGAGCAGTTACTCAGCGCGCCGAACAGCTGGTTACCTCATTTCGCCAGGTACAGGAAAGACAGCGCCGCTGATTGACAGGTTCCACCGGGCACAAGAGGACTGGCGGCTTACATAACGGTCTTTCCGCCCGGATGCGACCAGAGGGACAACCCTCCAAGGTTACTTCTTGGCTTCCGTCGACTCCCAGAGGGCGGCGCACCAGTGCTAGCCTCATTCCGCGCGGGCCGCCAAAACAGTTGGCACTTGTTCCTTTGTCTGCCTCCTTTGGGCCGTTGCGGGGGGCGCCCCAAGGCTGCGCCTCTTTTCGTCGCAGTGCGCCGAGGTGTGCGTGCCAACCCACGCTTCAAGCCGGCGCCTCCTTGCGTACGGTAGCGCAGACGGGCCCCCTGTGGGGTCTGATTGCCGCCGACCGTTTCATATGTCCAGCCAGGAACCCACTTGCCCGCGCAAGTGGGGAGGTCATCCAACTTCTCTTGTTTAGCAAGCGGCGCCTCCTGCTTTGTCCGGCGGGCCGATCGTGTACGTGTGGTGCAGGGGCCCAGACGAAGTTGCCGTTCGATGTGGTGCACTCTTCTCCACCCTCTCCCTTCCACGTCTCCCCCCCTTTCCCCCTCCTTCCCCCCTTTTCTTCCTTTTCCCTCCCTTCCTTCCCCCCCGGAGGCCTTCAAGAGAAAGGCGCTGGAGCTGCACCCTGACAAAGGTGGCGCTTCTTGGGGCGGGTCTCCGGACACTCACCCGCAGGCGCCTCGAGCTGTTCGGCTGTCGGAGTCTCGGAATCGCCGACGCGGTGCCGAGAAACGATATGCGCCGTCGGCTGGCCATGGCAAGACTTTCGGAGGTGGACAGACCTCCTACCCTGACACGTCGATTCAGGAATGGGCCGTTCTCGGTTCGCGAGAAGGCGTCGCGGCCGTCACTTTTGCGGGTCCAGGTCCGCCGGTTTCGGTCCCAGGCCGTTTCCACTAAGGGGAGGTCTACTAAAGGGAGGTTTGTCCACTGCCGAGACTTTCTGGGTTGCGCGGCTCGACCCTGGAGCCAGGTGTTTCGGCGCTCGGGAGGCTTCTTCTGCGACGCCGCGCGGCGCGACATGGAGCCACAGCGCCGTGAGCCGCATCGCTGCCAGAGAGCTCCCGATCCCATCTCTTCTGCGGGGTTGCCCCGGCGGGGTGGGCCTCCCCTGGTGGCCCCCCCCCCCGGGGGCGGGCACGGGGCCGACGGACATCCCGTCGTGGTTCGCCGGCGGCGTCCGGGTGCCCGGCCCCCCCCCCCCCCCCGACGAGAAAGGCGTTCGCACTCGGTGCCCGTCGGTCAGTCCTCCAGGGCACCATCCTGGCCCGCTTGCCGAGCCGCGCCCAGCCGTGGCGACGACGGGGGCCCTCCAAGTGTGGAGAATCGTCGGCAATCTTCGAGGGTCGAGGAGAGACAGGAGGAGGACGACCTCACTCTCACTCTTCTCTTCTGTCCAGCTGGCGATGTTGTATCGTCATCGTCGCGACAGGTGGTGACGCCGACCGCTTTCAGCTACTCCAGCAGATGAAGGAGCTTTGCCCTGTAATGTGCTGGAGAAGTGTGCCCCTGGAGGAGTGGGACGAGGGAATTGGGGGATTAGAGTGAGTATGTAGTGGTGGAGAGGAGGAGGAGGAGGAGGAGGAGGCGGAGGAGGGGGAATCATAAGACGAAAAACATTCATACCACTACGACTTTTACGACGACGACTACTACTACTACTACTACTACTACTACTACTACTACCACTACCACTACTACTACTACTACTACTACTACTACTACTACTACTACTACTACTACTACTACTACTACTACTACTACTACTACTACTACTACTACTACTACTACTACCACTACTACCACTACTACTACTACTACTACTACTACTACTACTACTACTACTACTACTACTACTACTACTACTACTACTACTACTACTACTACTACTACTACTACTACTACTACTACTACTACTACTACTACTACTATTACTACTACTGCTACTACCACTATTACTACTACTGCACTACTACTACTACTGCTATCAGTACTACTATCACTACTACTATCACTACTACTATCACTACTACTATCACTGCTACTATCACTACTACTACTACTACTACTACTACTACTACTACTACTACTACCATCCACCATTCGCTACTGCTAATGCTACTACTTACCACTGCTACTATGACTTGTCCTACTGCTACTACTACTACTACTACTACTACTACTACTACTATCACTACTACTACTACTACTACTACTACTACTACTACTACTATCACTACTACTACTACTACTACTACTACTATTACTACTACTACTACTGCTAATACGATTATCATTACGTCTACGATGGCGCCCCTTTGTTTTTTGTTCATAACAGTAACTGTAAGGATGACCGTGGTAACGTTGATAATGACTAAGACATATGAAGGTACAGATTCTACAACAACAACTACTACCACTATTACTACTACTAATAAAACTAATACCAGTAATAGTACTACGCATAGGAAGAGAACTACGAATCACAGTAATTCGCGTTTTAGAATTAAGAATGCTAGTATATTAAACATATGACGAAGCCTATTGATACTACGAATACGAACGCGAATCACATCAGGTAGTAATATCAATATGAAAGCTACTGGGACACATACTAATCATACTCATACTAATAAGGATAATAAGATTAGGAGAAGGACGAGGCGGAGGAGGAGGAAGAAGAAGAGGACATTGGGGAGGAGAAGCAGGGGTAGTTGGAGGGATACATGGGGACGTTTGAAGTATATCCACCACTGCTTGGTCTTTTTTTCAGCCGCTTAGAGGAAGGACCTGTGTAGCAACATGCAAGACCACGATGTCGAGGCAGCTCCTTTTGTGATGGGAGGCTGGCGCAGGGATTGAGGTTGCCATCGTGTACCTGGGTCAAGGATGTTACTAGGGCAGGGTGGCGCAGGGATTGAAATGCCTCTTTATCAACGTATTAACGTCACTGGTCGTTCCCCGTTCTTTTACTATCAGGGGTGCTTTTGGTCCGATTTCGGGGCCAGCTCATGGCCGCAATCTGGACAGCGCTGAGCATTCTATTGATGTCTTTTTCTGAGCCTCTCCTTGACGCCTTGTTCGGACACTCTTGGGCCCTCATGCGAGGCTTTGAAACCACCTGCCCTTTCGAGGCCCTCCTGGAGCTGTCTTTGGGCTTTTTTTGGGTCCACTTGTTGGCATTTCACTGGCACGCGAACTCACACTGGCGTGGCGTGCCTTGGTAGCGTATGTTGTCGTTGCCACCGCCGTCGTTGTTGTGCAGTCCTCCCTGATCGCTTTTAGTGTCTTTTCAGGCAGGCCCTTTATTTACCAGCCTGGAACAGATCCCTATCCCTGTGACTGGCATCACCTGACTTCGATGCTGATCCGAAGGATTCCCCGAGTTTCTGCGGGCGCATTCCTAAGATGATCTTCGCATTCGGGCATGTCGATCTCAGGGATAAGGGATGAGACAGGCCTCGGAAGAAATAAACGAACACTCCTGCCACCAATGCCCCCCCCACAGTGATCAGTGCTGGCGGTGTGTTGAAAGAGTTGCGCTTCGACCGCAGTCTCCCCCCCCCGCGTGCCTGCGTCTCTGGGGGGGAGGGGGTGGGACTGCCCACCAGTTGTTCTCCTCCACTGGATCGAGGCAGGTTACCCATGCGGTTCCAAAAAAGGGAGGCCCGCGCAGAGGCAACGACCTCGCACGCGCGGCGGCAGTCAGGGACCAAAAGGGTGGGATGGGCGCACGGCGGCCTCGGGGTGTACTGCCCGAGCGCAGGGAGCAGACGCCGAGCAGGCGATCGACCCCAGAATTGATGAACCCCAGAATCTAATCATTTTCGTATTTATTGTTTCGTGCCCTGGCACTCCATCCCCCCCCCAATGGAATAGATCTTGGCTGCCTTTGGCACCTGTTTCAAGCAGGTGGAGTCTCCCCCATAGAACACACTGCTGCAATCAGTCGCATTCAGCAGAGGTCCAGAGCCAGACCCTTCCCTCCCCCCCCTTCCGCCAATTCTCGAAACGCCGAATAAGAAAACATTAACAACTGTTTCTTCCGTCGAATCTACGACAAACAGCTCAATGGTTCATAGATCTGGGAACCTCTACGTATTTTTCGCAGCTTCGACGACACCTTCAATTTTGGGGTAAACCGCAGTTCCGTAGTCGATCTCTTGTTCGAGTCATATGCCGAGGGCGCCGGCGGATCCACAGCTTAGCTAGGCGCATATTTGGCGCATCCCACTTCTCGCCCTGCTTGCCAGCTTCCGATCTTTGGGCCTGGGAGGGGCTGCGGTTGCCTCTTCCGAAGACTTTTTGTGCCCGGCCGTGCCCTCCTCTCTTCGGTCTTCGTGCCCTCGCTCTCGGATGCCGCTTCTCGTTCAGCCGCGCTGCCCCACCCGCCCCAGGAGCTCCTGATACAGCCCACGGCGCAGGAGGTCGAGCATCGCCAGAAGGAGCCCCCCGTGGCCGGCGGGCGTGAGGAAGCACCAGAAAACGGTGGCACGGCCCCATGCCTCTGCTGTCGTGGCCCTCCACCTCTTCCTCCTCCGTCCTCCTCCTCCTCCTCCTTCTCCTTCTTTCTCCCTCCCTCCCTCCCTGCGTCCTCGCGCCCATCCATGTTGCAACCTCAAGGCTAAAGCTGCGGAGACAAGCGGGGACCAGCTCACGGACACCAGGCAGCGCGCACAGCGCTCGCTCCGCCGCCCTGCACACAAAAAGGATGGCTGGGCTCGCCTGGAGAGCTGGCTGCGCCTATCCCAGTGGGTGTGCCCGCTTGCGTCCCGCACACCCATTTCGGCACACCCCGCACACGCTTCGTGGACCCATACGGAGCTCCACCGAAGGTCCAAGTGGGTGTGCCCGCATTCGTCCCGCACCCATTTCGGCACACTCTTCACGCGTTTCGTGGCCCCATAGGGAGCTCCACCGCAGGTCCCCGTGGCGCAGTCCGCATGCGTCTCCCCCACCCAGTACACGTCCTCGACGTCCAGAAGGGTCCCCGCAGCTTGGACGGGCAGCGCCACGACGCCGACGCCGACGTCGGGCGGGACCAGATCTGGGCAGCCACCGAACCACGACAGCAAGAACTCGGCAGTTCGACCGCCTTGCGATGGCTCCGGCCTCCAGCAGCACGGCTTGGTGGTTGCGACGGGCATCCGCTTCCTCCTCCGTGGCCCGGCCGCATCGGGAGGCGGCCGCGATCCGGCCGCCTCGATCGCAGGGAGCGGCTCGAGGGCGAGGCCCGGCGGGGCGGCTGGAGGCAGGGCGAGGCGGGGCTGGGGGGGGCGTGGGAGGGATCGGGTGGGGGCGGGCTGGAGGGGATGGGTGAGGTGTTAGGGTTCAGTCGGGCGTGTCCCCCTACAGGGGGATTGTCGACGAAAGAGGACAAATACCCCCAACATAGTTAAAAGACAGTCTTTCCCCACATCCTAAGTGGGGTTCTTGTTTTCTCTGCACACCCTCCGCGCAGGATCTCTCGTCCTCCTCCCTCTCCTCTGCTCCTCTTTGCTTCCTCCTCCGCATCATCATCACCATCACCATCACTCCCCACTCATCATCATCATCATCATCATCATCATCATCATCATCATCATCATCATCATCATCATCATCCATCATCAGCACCACCATCACCATCCCGCGATCACTCACCATCATCGGCATCGAACGATCATCATCATCATCATCATCATCATCATCATCATCATCATCATCATCATCATCATCATCATCATCATCATCATCATCATCATCATCATCATCATCATCGCTGACTTGAGGCCCGAATATGGAGGAAGTATCAGGCGGGAGCCTCGTCTGTGAGTGAATTGTGAGGAAGTCTCAGGCGGGAGCCCCCTCCCTATGGGGCCCGCAGATCATGTTACTAATCCGAGCGGGTCATCGGATTCCTGTAACTGTCGTCACTTTTGGGCTCCTCAGGTCTGAATTTGGAGGAAGTATCAAGCGGGAGCCTCGTCTGTGAGTGAATTGCGAGGAAGTCTCAGGCGGGAGCCCCCTCCCTATGGGGCCCGCAGATCATGTTACTAATCCGAGCGGGTCATCGGATTCTTGTAACTGTCGTCACTTTTGGGCTCCTCAGGTCTGAATTTGGAGGAAGTATCAGGCGGGAGCCTCGTTTGTCAGTGAATTGCGAGCAAGTCTCAGGCGGGAGCCCCCTCCCTATGGGGCCCGCAGATCATGTTACTAATCCGAGCGGGTCATCGGATTCCTGTAACTGTCGTCACTTTTGGGCTCCTCAGGTTTGAATTTGGAAGAAGTATCAAGCGGGACCCTCGTCTGTGAGTGAATTGTGAGGACGCGTCAGGCGGGAGCCCCCTCCCTATGGGGCCCGCAGATCATGTTACTAATCCGAGCGGGTCATCGGATTCCTGTAACTGTCGTCACTTTTGGGCTCCTCAGGTCTGAATTTGGAGGAAGTATCAAGCGGGAGCCTCGTCTGTGAGTGAATTGCGAGGAAGTCTCAGGCGGGAGCCCCCTCCCTATGGGGCCCGCAGATCATGTTACTAATCCGAGCGGGTCATCGGATTCCTGTAACTGTCGTCACTTTTGGGCTCCTCAGGTCTGAATTTGGAGGAAGTATCAAGCGGGAGCCTCGTCTGTGAGTGAATTGCGAGGAAGTCTCAGGCGGGAGCCCCCTCCCTATGGGGCCCGCAGATCATGTTACTAATCCGAGCGGGTCATCGGATTCCTGTAACTGTCGTCACTTTTGGGCTCCTCAGGTTTGAATTTGGAGGAAGTATCAAGCGGGAGCCTCGTCTGTGAGTGAATTGTGAGGAAGTCTCAGGCGGGAGCCCCCTCCCTATGGGGCCCGCAGATCATGTTATTAATCCGAGCGGGTCATCGGATTCCTGTAACTGTCGTCACTTTTGGGCTCCTCAGGTCTGAATTTGGAGGAAGTATCAGGCGGGAGCTTCGTTTGTCAGTGAATTGCGAGGAAGTCTCAGGCGGGAGCCCCCTCCCTATGGGGCCCGCAGATCATGTTACTAATCCGAGCGGGTCATCGGATTCCTGTAACTGTCGTCACTTTTGGGCTCCTCAGGTCTGAATTTGGAAGAAGTATCAAGCGGGACCCTCGTCTGTGAGTGAATTGTGAGGACGCGTCAGGCGGGAGCCTTCCTATGGGTCCCGCAGCTCACGTGGTTCCTCCGGGTCATCCTCCGGCGCGCGCTTCCTCTGGGTCGTCCTCCGGCTCGTATCGGCTGGGACGCACGTCGTGCGCTTCCTCTGGGTCGTGTTCCGCACGAGGACGAGGAGGAGGAGGATTGCCAGGAAAAGGAGGAGGGATGATGCAGGACGAGACAGGAAAGCAGGAAGAGGAAGAGGCTGAGGGGAGGAAGGACGAGGAGGAAAAGGAGGAGGAGGAATGCCCGAGGAGGCCCCAGTAGGTCCCGGAAGGCCCAGAAGGCTCCAGGAGGCCCCAAGAGGCCCCAGGAGGCCCCAGGAGGGGGCAGGAGGCTTAAGGAGGAGGCAGGGGGAGGAGGAGGAGGAGGAGGAGGAGGAGGAGGAGGAGGAGGAGGAGGAGGAGGAGGAGGAGGAGGAGGAGGAGGAGGAGGAGGAGGAGGAGGAGGAGGAGGGGGGGGGAGGGGGGGGGAGGAATATGGAAACGAGGAGGAGGAGGAGGAGGAGGAGGAGGAGGAGGAGGAGGAGGAGGAGGAGGAGGAGGAGGGGGGAGGAGGAGGAGGAGGAGGAGGAGGAGGAGGAGGAGGAGGAGGAGGAGGAAGAGGAAGAATAATAAGAAGAAGAATAAGAAGAATAATAATAATAATAAGAAGAAGAATAAGAATAATAATAATAATAATAATAAGAATAAGAAGAATACTAATAAGAATAAGAAGGAGAGGAATAAACAGAATAAGCAGAAGAAGCAGAAGACTAATAAGAATAATAAGAATAATAATAATAAGAAGAAGAATGATAATAATAATAAGAAGAAGACGCATAATAATAATAATAATAAGAAGAAGAATAAGAAGAATAAGAAGCATAATAATAAGAATAATAATAATAATAAGAAGAATACTAATAATAATAATAATAATAATAATAATAATAATAAGAAGAAGAGGACTAATAATAAGAAGAAGAGGAGGAGGAGGAGGAGGAGGAGGAGGAAGCGGATGAGGGAGAGGGAAAGGAGGAGGACAGGGGATGAGGAGGAGGAGGAGGAGAAGGGAGAGGGAGAGCAGGAGGAGGAGGCAGGAGGCAGGAGGGGCAGGGGGAATGGGGGGGAGGAAGCATAACGAGGGGGAGGGGGAGGAGGTGGAGGAGGCAAAAAGAGGAGGAAAAGGCAGGGGTTGAGGCAGGAGGAGGAGCAGACAGGAGGAAAACGAGGAGGCAAGAGTAGGTGGGAGAAGGGAAGGGGCAGGAGGATACCCCCATGCAAGCTAAAGAGACTCTCATGTGGGGTCCTTCCGTCGGAGTTTTTTTTTTTTTTTTTTTTGTTTTTTTTTTTTCTTTTGATGTTTTTGGTATTCTTTGGGTATTTCCAATTGTTCGCCGAAAATCCCTTTGTAGGGGGACAAGCCCCACTTAATGTGAGGGGAACCATTAAAACCCGGAGGTCCGCGCGGATTTCTCGGATCCGCGCTGGACCCCCTGGCGGCGCCCGCGCGCCAGGGAGGGGGGTCCGGCGCAGATCCAAGGAATCCGCGCGGAGCGCCATTTTTTTTTTTTTTTGGTTGTTTTGTTTTTTTTTTGTGTGTGTGTTTTTCTATTATTATTCTAGTCAGCCAACTGGGGGGGAGCGGGGAAGGCTTCTTACAATTACCCCTGCTTCTTGAAAGGCGCGGGCGTTCTCTCTGTAGATGTAGCGCCGGCGCCTTCTAAGAAGCAGCCTCCTTCTCAGAAGCCTTACCCCCTTTCCCCTCTGCTTTGTGTGCGCCACCAATGGTACGGCTCGCGGGACCCTTACGAGGAAGCCCTTCGTCGGGTGCAGGATAGTGCTTGAAGTCACTGGGTGGTGTGCACAGGTGGGGCCCCGCCACGCACCATGGCGGCGACACCAGGATAATTATTGCTGAAGGACTCACGCGTTGGCTGTGCTGGAGGGGCGGTCTATATAGACCTTTTGGCCCCCACGCGCAGGGATCAGGGGGCAGGAGTCTATGCCTTCAGATGGTGTCGGAATAGATGGGGTCGGAGGACCTTGCCGCAGCGCCGATGCATCGGCGATGCGGCTCGATGTGGAGCCCGATTTTCTCCACGCCGTCGTCGCCGATGCATCTCCGACGTCCCCGATGCATCGCCGATGCATCGACGATGCGGTTCGGTCCAGGACATTGGTTCCCCGGTCGGTGGGATATGTATTCATTCCCCCTCGCAGGATAGGAGGAGGATGAGGAGGAAAAGGAGGATGGTAGAGGACGAGGAGGGAAGATGATCGTGGGCGGGGAACATGCACACATCCACTGCCTGGCGATCCAGACTCCTTCGCCGCGACCCCCAATGAGTGGAGGGCGTTCTGTGCGGAGGCTCCCGCGCGAGGTGCGCCCGCGGGACCGCGCGTCCGCTGCCGCGCGTCCGCTGCCGCACGCCCTGCTACCCAGACGGCAGGGGCATGGATCCGGATACGTTCGCCGCTCGCGAGACGAGCGAGGGCGGACGATGGGGAGGGAGTCGGTGGTCAGTTCTGCTGCCGCCCTGGATCCTGATCCCCAGAGGTCCCCGGGGAGGTCCCCATGGACCTCCGGATGTGCTGGAGGCCTCGGGAGTCAGCGGCGCCGCAACGGGTACTCACCAACGGGTACTCTTGAAAGTTGCCGAAGTTTGCTACTTTAGGGGCTCTCTGTGGCATTGCAGCGTTGCCCACATCGGGGAGGGTTAGGTTCGCAGGGTCACTGGCCAAAGTACCCGTTAGTGGAGTCCCCGTTAGAGGGGCGCCGAGGGAGAGGCCCGACAGGGGCCCAGCGCGTCCGAGGGCCCCCTCCCTCGACCTTCCACGGTCGAGGGTCAAGCTTGGCAGGCGTCGGGCGCCCGGGGGTGGGGCGAGCGGGGCTGCGGCGGCGGCCGGGCCCCTGCGCGGCCGCCCGCGCGCCCCCAGGAGGACCAGGAGAGAAGCCAGGAGGCGGAGAAGGCCTGTGGGGCTCCCGGTGTGCCCCGCCGATCGGGTCCTCGCGCCCGTCCTTCTCCTCCAGGAGAGGGGGAGGGGGAGGGGGAGGGGGAGGGGGGAGGGGAGGGGGAGGAGGGGGAGGAGGAGGAGGAGGGGAGGAGGAGGGGGGAGGGCGAGCTAGGTGCGCTCGCGTCATATCTGACATCCTACCCCTCCCTCCCATCCCTTACCATGGCGCAGATCCCCTCTCTACTCGCACAGTCGGATGTCGAGCAGGGCGATGATCCCGAAAGGGTACGCGATGCATTGTAGAGCACGGCATGGCATGGCGTAGAAGAGCACCGCAAAGCGTAGTATCAACCTAGCATTGCATTGCACGCCGTGGCATGGCATGGGAAATGACGCCAGCGCTGCAGCGGGAGCACGAGTCGAAACGAGCGGAAGCGCGGAAATGAGGCCAGCGCTGCAGCGGGAGCACGATTCGGAACGAGCGGAAGCGCGGAAATGAGGCCAGCGCTTTAGCCGGAGCACGATTCGGAACGAGCGGGGCCCGAAAATGAGGCCGGCGCCCCAGCGAGAGCAGCATTAAAACAAAAAATGCAAGCGAAAACCCAACTCCCGGGAAACCTGTGTGTAAAAAAAACAGGACGCGGGGGGGGGGGGGCGAACACTCCCAGCACGTCATCAGGGGAAGTGGGAGAGTAGTATTCATAGTGAGTAAGTGGAGGAGGAGGAGGAGGAGGAGGAGGAGGAGGAGGAGGAGGAGGAGGAGGAGGGAGGAGGAGGAGGAGGAGGGGGAGGAGGAGGAGGAGGAGGAGGGGGAGGAGGAGGAGGACGGGGGGAGGGGCTCCCACCTCCCCTCTCCCCCTCCTGGTGGATGACGAGGGACTTGGGGGGAGGCATGAAGCGGGGATGCGTGAGGGTGCTGAGCGGAACACAGTTCACCAGGGGTGTGACGGATGTGTCTCGAAAGGCTGCGAAGGATGCCGAGGATCGTGAGCAAAGAAAGAAGGACGAAGCGTTCAAGGACAAGGACCAGGACCACGAGGACGAGTTCAGTTGCGGTTTCTCGTCGGATCTGCGCGGCTGACGCCTTGCCAGTGTCTTCGTGATATGGCATGATATGGCAGTGATGCTAGCGTTCGAAGAGGATGACAGCCAAGAGGAGTATTGGGGACAGGAAGATAATCTAGAGAGGCCTTCGGCCATCCGGCCCCCCTGGGTTGTAGGTCAGAGGGCTCTTGGATGCCTGGATCCCTCGGGAGGCCTCTCGGAAGCTTCTTGGAGGCGTTTGCGGGGTGCCTTGGGGCCTCTCGGGGGCCTTCTTTGGGCCTCCTTTGGGCCTCTCTTGGGCCTCCTGCGGCCTCCTGTGGCTTCTTGGGGGCCTCCTAGGGGCCTGCTGGCGGTCTCGGAGGTCATCTTGGAGCGGAGGCATCGGAATTTCAGTTCGAGCTCCCTTTTTTGGGCCCCTCTTGGGACCGTTTTGACAGCCCCTTTGGCCGTGTTGAAGCCCCCTTGGGCTGTCTTCGGGTCCTCTTGGGGGCCTCTCGGGCCGTCTTGGTGCGATCTTTGGGGACTCTTGGGCCGTCTTAGAGCGTCGGAGCCCCGAAAAGGCGAGAAAGCTAAACTCTGTCAAACTCCGAGGGAATTATGTTTTCTTGCCTCTTGGGGTCCTCCTGTGAGGTCTTCAGGATGCCTCTTGGGATGCCTCGGGGACCCCTTCGACCGTCTTGAGGCTATCTTGGGCGTCTCGGAGCCCTTTTTGGGCCGTCTCGGGTCCCTGTCGGACTGTTATCGGAGCATCTTGGGGCACTCTTGGCCCGTCTTGGGCCCCCACAGCCTCAGGGAAAGTCCTGAGACAAGAGTCAAAGGGTCTGTTGGAAGCCCTGGGGCTACCCAGGAGCGCCCGGGCTACCCAGAAGCGCCCAGATCTCCAGGCGAGCTGCCGTTTAAATATGCAATACTCAATGTCTAATGGCCTTCGTCCCATCCCGCCACCGTGCCTGGGTTGTGGGTATGAAGCCTATTGGATGTTCGTTGGGATCTCGTGGGAGGCCTCTCGGGGGTACTCCTGGAGGCAGTTTTGAAGCCTCTTGGTGGCCGTTTTGAGGCCTCTTGGGGCCTCCTTTGGGCCTCTCTGGGGCCCCTTGGGCCTCTTGGGGGCCTCGTGGGGCCTCTTGGAGGCGGGCCTCTTGGGGCCTCCTTTGGGCCTCTTTGGGGCCTCTTGGGGCCTCTTGGGGGTCCCTTGGGGCCTCTTGGGGGCCTCTTGGGGCCTCTTGGGGCCTCTTGGGCGCCTCGTAGGGCCTCGTGGGGGCCTCTTGGGGCGGAAGACTCGGGTTTTCAGCTAGTGTTCCCTCTCTTGGGCTCCTTCGGGGCCGTCTTGGGGCCCGCTTGTGCTGTCTTGGGCGTCTCTTGAGCTTTCTCGAGGCGCTCTTAGGCCGTCTTTGGGCCCTCTTGGAGGCCCCTTGGGTCGTTTAGGGGTGGTCTTTGGGGCCTCTTGGGCCGTCTTGGAGCGTCGGAAAGCCGAAAAGACAAGAGCGCCCAAACTCTTAAGACACCTAGGGAG